ACAAACTCATACAAGGAGATAAAACAGACGTTTTACATGGTGAAATGTGACTGATGRAAACTGAGGAGCTTAATCCCACACCAGTTTGACCATGAATAACGTCAGGTGACCAGTCTGACTTTATTTTTTCACATTGGACTCCACCAAGAAGAAATCCCGTGCATACTGCTGCTTAAATGTTCACTACGTCCGAACTTATTCAGCAAATGTGTTTCCATCTCTGCTTTTGTGCATTAACTCTTACAGGATGGGGGAAATTGGTCTTGGTGGAGGTTTGCACTCTCCAAGTGCTTCAAGTTTTCACAATAGTTTATTGTCATTTTACCTCCTAAATTCTATGGGAATATTACCTTTTGTTTGGTTTAGTATGTTTGTTTTACTAGTGTATTTTTCTCCATATGCATTTTTTAAAAATAAAAATCAAATGAACAATTTATTGAAGATTTTTGAGGACCCCCAAGACACGACTTGCAGACCCCTGGTCCAGACCCCTCAGTCTGGAACCACTGGGCTGATTGACCTAAACTTAACGTGCTGTGATCACATTGAACAAATACATCAAGTTTCATTTCAAATTTGAGACAATCAGGTTAAAATCACCTCTTTTTTTTGGGTGATTTTGATTTAATTATTTTTTAGTTAGTCCCATTCACATTGGTGAAGTTATTTTTTTACCTTAATGCACTCAGAACTTGCAAAAATAAAAAAACCCTTTCTAAATATGCCAAAGTCCTAAAAGCATGATGTTGAGCTGTAATCACTTCTAGATATATTTTTTTATATCTTTCAGAGTCTGAACGGTTTATTCTCTCAGTTATCTTCTGTGCAAACATCAGCCACATAAATATCTAATGTTTTCAGTTACGACTGAAGGATTCTGATCATTAACTCGTGTACAGATTACCTGGCAGACTGGATCTTCTTGGCCCGCCAGGAAAGAGCGGGGTTGTAGTTTGGGGCGTGCAGCGTGGCACTGGAACTCGAGCGGGTCACCATCTTGTAGCGTGTCCTGTACACCCGCTGGGAGGCGGGGCTTCTGTGGGACGAGGACGATGGATCTGTGGACGGCAATAAGTGGTTTAGTTAGAAACTCTACACACACACACACACACACACACACAGAAACAGGAGCCAGCATGAAACTTATCTAGTCAGCGTGTCAACAAATGCACATTCACATCATTTCAACTGCACCAAACTGCACACACACACACACACACACACACACACACACACACACACACACACACA